AATGCCTTTGAGAAAAGATATGTGTCTACAATTTGGTGATGATACCTCACCCTGAATATCATCCGGCAGTCGCTCTTTTCGGATATATCCAAGAAGCTTCAATTTCCTTTCCATCTGTCTGTCACCAACTTCACTGTCTAACCACTGCTGGCAAGAAAAGGCATATTCCTTGTCTCTTTTCCCAGATTCCTGAATGGTGATGTGGTCTAAATAGCATCCAGCACCGTAGCCAGTGCCACTGTGTTCTATAAGCACTTTCCTGACCATGCCCAGGTCCACTGCTCTCAGGCTGAAGGTGCTTACCTGATGAAAGGTAAATAACAAAAACACTTTGTAAGTGATCAAATGGAAAGGTTCAGATTTGTTTCAGTACTTCAATGGAACTTGGGCTGTAGCATGTTGAAATGTTCAACAACCAACAAAAGGACATCTAAGTACTGACAACAAATAGAGAACTGAACTAGACATTAAGGGAATTAAAAAGATTAAGTACAAAATAGTGCCTCCTCTTCCAGAGCTCACACATGTGTAAATAACTGGCTTCCTTCAAGATTCAGCCCCAATGCCACATTCAAAGAAGACCTTTCAAAAACAAAAAAAAAAAGACCTTTGCCAGGCTGCCTTGCCCTTCTGGCTGCTAGTGTCTTCCTAATCTAGGTTACCTCTCATACATACTCTGTATGTATTTTGTATATTTATTTTATGCCATCTCCCCTATCATAATGTAAGCTTTTTGAGATAAGGGGCTGTCTTTCTTTTTGCTTGTATTTGGAATTAACATAGTGTCTGTCACATAGTAAGCACTTAAGAAATGCTTGTTAACTGTTGATAAGTTTATTGTCTGTCTTCCATTTTCTCCTCAGCTCTTGGCACAGTGAGAAGCAAAAAGCAACTGCTTAAATTCTTGTGATTTGTAGTGTAATGATACATAAGTCAGGGCTAAGTGGAGTTCTATGTTGTTCAGATCGGAGGAGAAAAGAACATTGTTGAATGGGAGGCAGGAAAGGCCATCAAGGAAGACTTCATTGAGGAAATCTTATTGGAGCTATACCTTAATAAACAGTCAGAATGCCAAGACAGGGGGTTGTGTGGCATGCCAGGAACTATATCAAGATGATGTTACATCAAAGTAAAGTTTAGGGGATATTGAGTATTCCTGTTTGCCTGGAGTTGAGAATGCATAAAAGGGGACAGCCAGGGAAGGGGCTCAAAATATAGACTACAGATGGTAAAGGGCTTTGAAGATGAAGGTATGAAGCTCAAATATCATTTGAAAAGTGATAGGAAGCCACCAAAACATTTTGCAAAAAAACAATAACAATCAGAACTGAGTAGGAGAAAGAGTCATTTGGGAGCAGCACAAAAGATGGTTTGGAATAAAGAGAGAGTAGAGGCAGGAAAACTGTCAGGAGACTATTAAGATATTTAAAGTGGATAGTAATGAAGGAAGAATCAAGAATGACTTTGAGATTTAGAGGAGCAAGAGATCATTTTTGGCAGAAAGCAATAAGCAAAAGCTTCATAAAGAGTATTGAATCTGCAGTCAGGAAAATCTAAGTTCAAATCCAGCCTCAGACAATTATTAACTATGTGATGCTGGGCAAGTCACTTAACCTCTCTCAACCTCAGTTTCCTTATCTGCAAAATGGAGTTAATAGTGATTTGTTCTCAGGGTTGCTGAGGGGATAAAATGAGACATTTGCAAAGCACTGGAATTTTACATCAATATTTTAAAATGCTTTTTAAAAATAGTATTAGCCTGTGAAGAGGCTTTCAAATCCTTTTACAGTTGGTTAGCTATACCTCTAGCCAGCAAATTTGATAAGCATACCATCCAAATCAATGAGGCTTTCATCCAAATTGATTTTTTAAAATTGTTTCACAGCATAGGGCCAGAGACAGATGCTCTAACAGATACATCCCTCCAAGTTGACATCAGTTAGTCAGTTGACTATCTTTGAGTCTGATCATTGAGTCATGTTCCAAAGCTACCTAATTGGATTAGCGCTTTATATGGGGATTAGGTTT